GAACAGCTCTTGTGCTGCCCTGGAAAGGGGCGAGATGAGAACGAGCTTCTCTGTTCCAGCGTGGTTTTGGATTCTGTTTTTTTGAGACCTGGCTGTTGCTCACAAATATATTGTGGAGCAGTATGACCTAAAGGAGCAGCGTATGTGGGAGAGGGAACTTGCGCGGAGGCAGGACTGTCTGCGCTGCTCATAGCTCGGGCATTAACAGAGAGGTGGGTAAAAGGTTCCTCCTTGGCGGTGCAGCTGTGGCAGAGGGCACAGGCCGAGGTCCCCGCTTTGGCCCTGGCTCCTCAGATGCAGCTGCCGTCACCAAAGGCAGCTGCCAGGGCCGGGGGTGTGAACGGGGTCCCCCAAGGTGCAAGTACCGCTCTTGTTGGCTGCTTTGGCTTTGAGCCAGGGGAGAGCGTTAAGCTTTGAGCCAGGTGCTTTCATCTGCTGCTGTAGAAATGACGCGTTGGCCATGGAAGCGTCATGTGAGGTTCTTTGGCTGTTTTTCCGGCAAAAAGTCATAGGTTGTTATCCTGCCTTTTTCCCTTTTTATTTATTTTTTATTTTTTTTGGTCTTTAAAATCTATGGATGATAAAATACAAAGGGATATTGAGCCTAATTTCTGCATTAGGCAGATTGTAAACTGTGACTGATTTCAACAAGCTGGAGGTGAGAGAGATGTGCCAGCCTGCTGTGGGGTGGCCGTGGTGCCCCTGTCCCCCCTCTTTTGGAGGGTGATGTGAAAGTGGCTGCTGTCCCCATCAGCCCAGGTGGACCCTACAGGCTCAGGGATCTCCCTGCTCATCTCCTGAGCTGACTTTAACCAGCAGTGAGTTTGGGGACACCTGGGGACCTGGTTGTTACACAGGATGCATTGCAGTTATCTGCTTGCTCCATCAGCGGTACCAATAACATGGACACAGCTGCTCCCCGTCATGGGGTGTGAAAGTTGGGATTTGGGGGTTAGAGCATGAATGGAAGGGTGATGCCTTCGGAAAACTCTCTGAAAAAGCTCTTCTCAAGCAGGCACAGTAGCCTCACAATGATATTAAATAATTAAATGACTTACTAAAATAACATTGTTAACATGCACTAGGGGAAGGATTATGAGAAAGATAAATGGATAGTGTCCACAACAAAAAGCTAATGAAAAATACTGTCTCTTCCCATTATGTTGCATAACCGCATACAGACCAGAAATAAATGACTGCAGTTATTTTTTATGTCGTATGAGGCTGTGGAAGTATGCATTTCATGGCAATATTTGCATGAGAGGGATGCCAGTGCAGAGCTCCATGTAATTATGCATAGAATTAGAGGAAATTTCTTGAGTTATAATATACAAAGGTACATTAGTTTTCTAGTGACCTTTTAGGATAAAAAATTGGGAGAGAAGGCAGGCAGTTTATTCCTTTTTTTTTTTTCTTTTTTTTTTTTTTTTTTTTTTTTTTTGCTGTTGGTGCATTGGGATTATGACAGCCCCAAGAACAGTCCCTGTCATTGCTCAGAGAGAGGTGTCTGCTCTAACGTGCCTGCAAGCCTCTGTGCATCAGCACCTACCAAATACTGGGCTGCAGAGACTGGAGACAGGCAGCTCTGGGAATACATTTGGAGACGATTTTCCCTCATGGATAATTCACAAGATATAATTATCCAGGCAAAGAGATCCGGTGGCTTGTAGTGCATCTGAAATATGGCCTAGTCTCAAACTGGCTCCAGGCTCCTACTTTATCCGGTAATATCCCCACAAGGAAACAGTCTCCCTGAACGACTAGGATGGATGTTGGTGTAACACATGGCTTCCAGAAAGTGTCATCTTTCGTGGTTTTCCCATTAACATTAACAAATTTGATGCACAAGGATATCCTTTCTCTTAGCACTGAGATGCATGCGGGCGCTTTGGAAACGGTCTTTCCTTGGCAGCCTTAGGAGTCTCTGACTAGCTCTTCCCAGAAGATAAAATAGCAATTGCAGCGCAACATATCATACCTAAATTAAAGTCCCAGAAGGGGAAGGCAGTAAGTGATGTAAGAAACATTCATCATACAAGTCCTTTACTTCATAAATGTGCTCCCATGTGGTTTTTCTGATTTCCTAGTCCAGATAGCACAGATGCATGCCAGAGTACCTGGACGTCCTTGGTGCTGGCAGATGTAGGCAGGATTTATCTAGTTCTTTCTTATTAATTGTATAGCCTGGATGAGTTTACTGAGAGTCCAGAAAAGCTGATGCTTTTTGTGTTCTGTAGGAAATAGAAAAAAAAAATCCTTTGGGAGCGCAGTAGAAATGCAGGTTATCTGGAAATGGAGTATTATCTGGAAACAGGGCTGGAATCTGCCTTGAGGAAGGATTCCTTTCACAGTGGGAGAGTAACGTTTTTAATTTATTTTTCTTTTTGGGCTTCTTGGTGTATGGCCCCTCTGCTGCTGCAGCCTGAGGGGCTGCCAGTCCCAGTGCCCCCACTTCCTTCTGCTGCGTCAGGTTTTGTCAAAAAGCAGCTTTGGAGAAACCGCTGGTACCGGGAAGGTTTCTGGCCAGGCGTGCTGGGCACGTGGCCCTTGCAAGTCTCGTGGTTTGTAACTACACGTGCAAGGTATCGACAGCTCCAGGGTCAGACTGGCGAGGAAATTAAATGCACTCTTGGATCTGTCCGGCTTCAAGAAGCCAAGCGAGTGGATAGTGCATGTGAAGGAGCCTCGAGGAACAGGGGTGTTTGTTGAGCGCCCTGGTTAACCTGTCCTGGTGACCGTGCGTGTGTCAACCCTCCGGAGAGCTGAGACACTCCAATCTCCTCTGCTTGCCTGCTGGGCCCATGGCAATACCGGGACCCCATTGCTCCCAAATAGCCATAAAAAGACTTCCTGATGCCTCTCTGATGTTTTTCCATACTCAGCTGATTGGACTGGGTCAATCCAATGGGCAAAAGGAAAACTGAGCGGCTTCAGTTAGTTGCAAAATGCTCCTTTGTGTGTCGGGGCTGAAGGCAAAGACCCAGGGTGACTTGGAGGTGACAAACGGACCCTTTTCCAAGCGCACAGAGTGCCAGCTGTGCGCCAGCTGTGAACCAGCGA